CTCAGATATTTTATCTTTTTTCTGGACATGTGCCGATATGGTCATCTATTTTTGCTTCTTGGACATGTTTAATATTTATCTATGGCCCTAGTAATTAATTATGTGTTTTGGTAATTTTGTATGTTTTCTGATTACCTCCAGGAAGGTGTGATCAGGATGTGGTCTTCCCTTTTCACTCGCCTTATTTCTTAACTCAGAGTAACTTTTTTTGGCCTCAGTTGGGCCTGGGCCTCGGCGGTGTGTCCTGTGGGCCTTGGGTGGGTGGGTTGAGCCTAGGGCGGGTGGTTTGGGCCTCCGGGGGCCTGGTCGTCAGCAACCGAGCTGCAGGAGGGTTGGGCCTCGGGCGGGTGGTTTGGGCCTCGGGCGGGTGGTTTGGGCCTCCGGGGGCCTGGGTATCAGCAGCTGGGCATCCAGCGACTTGGGCCTCAGCGGGCAGGTTGGGCGGATTGGGCCTCAGGGGCCTGTGCCTCCGGGACTCGGCTGAGGGCGGTGTGGTCTCAGAGGCACTGGGCCTTGGCAACCAGGCTACGCAGTGAATTGGGCCTCAGGTGCCCTGGGCCTCAGCGACCTGGCTTTGCGGCGGTCGCGGGTAGGCAATTTTGGCCTTGGTTGGGCCTGGGGCTTTGTGACCAGTCTGTGGGTGGGTTGGGCCTCAGGGCAGGCCTTGGTCTCAGTGGGAGTGTCTGGGCCTTGGGAGGGCCTTGGCCTCAGTGAGTGGGCCTGTGCCTTGGTTGTTCCTGAGCCTCGGTGGTTTGGCAGAGGGCTGGCCTATGCCGGGACAGTAGAGGGCTGGGGCTAGTGGCTGTAGGGAGGTATTGTCCATATCTGATGACGTAAAAATTGCCTCTCTCAGTTTCTCTGTACCGTGGGTACCCCAAATTTCCTGATATCTGCGCCGATATCCCTCTCTATTTGTTCGCCTTTATTAGTTTATGCTTCCTTTTCTCTGGAAATGCAGCCTTCTAAGTGGGGTTGCTCTAGCTTTGCATTCCAAGGTCTACAGGGGGCAGAGGCACTCGCCAGCGTGGACGCGGAAGCGGGAGCTCCGTGCAGGCAGGCAAAAGCTTAAAATGCCTGTAATTCCTCAGCAATTTGATCTTTTAAAAAAACGAGTTCAGAATGTTAAAATAAAAGATCTTATGTTTGTTCAAAGGCTGTCTGTCTGCTAGACAGAGGTTTTCTATGTGCGATTCTGCCCCTTTTTCCAAGAGCCCTACCTGAGCTGCCTGGTCCGGGAAGCACCGCCCTCAGTATTGTGTGGTTTTTTTTTTGTTTTTTTTTTTTTTTTGATGTACACAAAATTACTCAGGAATATATAATCATATAAACAACCAAAGGGTACATTCTGCAAGCCTACCTCCTGGCCACCAGCACACAGCCTTTCTTTTCGCATGAGTTTAGAGTCCTCAGCTGCTCCATCTTCTCTCCATGTCCTCAGCTTTGCCTCCTTCTCTGGTGTCGCTGCTTCTCTGGATAGGGCCCACATTCTGCTAGTACTCCTCTCCCTTAATTGCCTCAGGGTCCTCTGTTATTGGAATGTAAGATTAACTACCCCACCCTTTATATTAGAAAACTTCTACCTTTACAATTGTGGCAATCTCAATTAGTCATATAACAATTACTACTGCTGAATCGTAAGACTCTTTTCCCTATTTCCTTTCACCAGACCTTTGTAGACAAGAAGAAGACTATTCAGTGGAGATTCTACCTTCCCCTCCATACTCTGAAACTAAACTCCATCTTGACAACTTGTAAACCAGTCACTTCATGCTTTTATTACCCATTTTAGGTAGCAAATGTCTAAGTTGCCCATCCCTATCATCCCTGTGTATAGAGGGGCTGGGAATGATCCGTGATGTGAAGATTCCTTCCTGCTCAGTTGTTATTTTGAGCTACTACTTCCATAGTATATGTCAAGCTAATCAAATTGCTTTATCACATTTTTTACATTTGTTTTTCAATCTTCCTCTAATCGAGTTCTGATTATCCAGCTATTGAAGCTAGGTCAAATGGGTACTATCGGCACGTTTGGCATTCTTGTGAGTCTCCCCTCACTTCATATCAGCTGACACTTCACTCTTGGCTGCCATTTTTGCATTTTATTTTTCCTACTGGTCTTTCTTTCAGGAAGTATCGTCTCTTCCTCTAGCTGTTCCAGGCTGGTCACAAATGATATAAATTTTGGGAAAAGGTCCCCCACTCCTGCTACACAGGGTCACTGCAAGTTGGAATCAACTTGATGACAGTGGGTTTGGTTTGGAAGAATTCTCTAACATGGCACAAGTGTTTTGTACATGACTACTAGGAATCTAAGGAACTCTGGTAGCATAGTGATTACGAATCAGGCTGCAAACCACAGTCAGCAGTTCAAAGCTACCAGCTGATCCACAGGAGAAAGATGAGGCTTTCTGCTCCTGTAAAGATTTACAGCCTCGGAAGCCCTGTACTGGGTCAGTATGAGTTGGAACCGACTTCACAGCACATAACAACAACAACTAGCAATCCTAGGGCACCTGGTGTAGCATTATAGGTTCAGCACTGGATTGTGAACCACATGGTCAACATTTCAAACCCACCAACTCTCTGCAAAAACCCTATGCAGGGTCGTTGTGAGTTGGAAGCGACTCACCGACACTTGACAACAATAACTAGGAGTCATGGTGTGGTGCTGTAGGATAAACATAGGATCACAAGGTCCAGTTGAATCACAAGGTTAGTGGTTCAGACTCCCCAGTGACTCCTCAGAATTCCTATACAGGGTTGCTATGAGTTGGAACCAACTCTATGTACTTAACAACAATGACTAGAATCCCTGGTAGTGTAGTGGTTACACATTAAGCTGCTAACTGCAAGTCAGTAGTTGAAGTCTACTAACTGCTTCATGGGAGAAAGATGAGACTGTCTGCTCCTGGAAGGATTTACTGTCTTGGAAACTGTATACAGGGTTGCTATGAGTCAGAATGACTTGATGGCACACCACCACCACCACTAAACAAGGTTGGTGGTTCAGATCCATTCTTTGGTGCTACCGAAATAAGGCTTGGGTATCTGCTTTTGGAAACATTACACCCAAGAAAACCCTGTGGAGCACAGTTCTGTTCTACAACATGTGAGGTTGCCATAAGCCAGAATCAACTAGAAGACACTGGATTTTGTTTTTGATTTGGAATAATCTTATGTGTCACTTGTTAAAATACCACCCCCAAGGCTCTTTTTGAAGATGTTCTGATTTAGGAATTCTAGAGTAAGGACCAGAAATCTGTATTTTTAACTGTTACAGGGAATTCTTAAAACCAGGCTGTTTGGGAGCACACTCGATAGGGTGAAGAGTGAACATGCTGAAGTCAGATGCGGTCAAATGTTAGTTGTTGTCCTTACTAACAACAACAAGGAAGAAGAAGAAAAAAAAAAGCCAGGCCAGTTTTCACTGAGTCATTTCTGACTCACAGGGAAGCCATATATATTACAGTAGAACTGTCCCCTAGAGAATTTTCAATGACTGATTTTTCAGAAGTCAAACACAGGCATTCCTTCCAGGGTGCCGCACTTCAACCTTTCTGTTAGCAGTGGAGTGTCACCCAAAGACCAACTCAAAGCAAACCTCTAGCCAGTAAGTTGCCTCTGACTCACAGAAACTCTCTATATAGGGCAGAATAGAACTGACCCATCGCCTTTACAAGCGGTCAATCTTTAAGGAAGCTGATTGCTGCCGTACTTCTTTCATGGAGGGACTGATGGGTCCAAACTGCTGACCTTTTATTTAGCAGGTGAGTGCCTTAGTTAATATACAGCCAAAGCTTCTTTCAAGAACCTGTGTTGTTGTTGTTAAATATAGTCAAGCTAGTTCTAACTCATAGCGACCCTGTATAGTGTTTCTGAGGAGTACCTGGTGAGTTTGAACTGCAACCTTGCAGTCAGCAGTCTAGTTTTAATCATTCAGCGCCGTACCAGGACTCCTCAAAAACCTGTATCTAGAAATAAATTACTTAGGTTAATCAAGGCTAGAAATGAGCTGTTATAATTATTGTTTGTTTTTCCTTCTTGTTGAATAATCTACCTGTCTCTTCTTCTTATTTCTTACACTGCAGATAGAGGACATGCAGTGGGGTAAAGGGGTCAGGGAGATCCCCTCCTCTGTGTGCACACTACCATGTAAGCCTGGTCAAAGGAAGAAGACACAGAAGGGCACCCCATGTTGCTGGACCTGTGAGCCCTGTGATGGGTACCAGTACCAGTTTGATGAGATGACCTGTCAGCACTGCCCATATGACCAGCGGCCCAATGAAAACCGAACAGGCTGCCAAGACATCCCCATAATAAAACTTGAGTGGCATTCCCCTTGGGCTGTCATCCCAGTCTTCCTGGCAATGTTGGGCATCGTTGCCACCATCTTTGTCATGGCCACGTTCATCCGCTACAATGACACGCCTATTGTCCGGGCTTCTGGAAGGGAGCTCAGCTATGTTCTGTTGACGGGCATCTTCCTTTGCTACATTATCACTTTCCTCATGATTGCCAAGCCAGATGTTGCAGTGTGTTCTTTTCGGCGAGTTTTCCTGGGCTTGGGGATGTGCATCAGTTATGCAGCCCTTTTGACAAAAACCAATCGGATTTACCGCATATTTGAGCAGGGCAAGAAATCAGTGACTGCTCCCAGACTCATAAGCCCAACATCACAGCTGGCGATCACTTCCAGTTTGATATCCGTTCAGCTTTTAGGTGTTTTCATTTGGTTTGGTGTTGACCCTCCCAACATTATCATAGACTATGATGAACACAAGACGATGAATCCTGAGCAGGCCAGAGGAGTTCTCAAATGTGACATTTCAGATCTTCAAATCATTTGCTCCTTGGGATATAGCATTCTTCTCATGGTCACATGTACTGTGTATGCCATCAAGACTCGGGGTGTCCCAGAAAATTTCAATGAAGCCAAGCCCATTGGATTTACTATGTACACAACATGTATAGTATGGCTAGCCTTCATTCCAATTTTTTTTGGCACTGCTCAGTCAGCGGAAAAGGTAAGTGAAAATGCACTCCACACCATGCATTTCAAAACTGTATTCATTTGTATAATTCATGAAAACAAATTGGTTATATGAATAGGAGGTTTTATGTATGCAGTATAAGGTATGCCTGGCAGCAGAAAACCCTGAATTAATAGATGTTAGAGAGGTTTGAAACCTTCAATGAAGCATGCTGTGTTTGTTCCACTGGATACCAACCAGAGGTTTGTTGTTCTTGTTAAGTATCATGGACTTGACTTTGACTCATAGTGACCCTGCACAGGGTTTCTGAGGCTATAAAATTTTTTTAAAATGTTTTATTATGAATTGTGTGATAGTTTACATGGGAGAACATTAGATTTACATTCAACCTATCGTATATCATTTCATTACCATGGTTATAATCCCTTCCATGCATCATCAACCAACCACAGGGTATGCCATACAAGCCTGCCACCTGGTCGTCAGCACACAGTCCTTCTCCCTCTCTGGGTGTAAAGTCCCCAGCTGCTCCATCTCTCCACGTCATTGTTTCTGCCTCCATCTCTAGCATCACTGCTTCTCTGGGTAGGGTTCCGCTCTCTGCTCTTCTCCCTTGGGGCTCCCAGGGACCTCCACTCCTAGACTGAAAAGTTAATCACTCCTGGAGGCTGTATATCTCTATGGGAGCAGAAAGCCTCATCTTTCTCCCACAGAATGGCTGGTAGTTTTGAACTGCAGACCTTGAGGTTAGCAGCCCGATTCATAACCACTACCAAGAGAGGTAGCCTTTGAAACTCAAATTAATTATATTTAATTATAGAACTATTGAATACAAGTATAATAAGAAACTACGTATTGTAAATTGAATCTATATAAATTAAACCTGCTTTTCATTTGCCCCTTCCTCTAGTTACACACATAATTTCTTTAGGCTAGAATATCTTCCGAGTGGGTGTTTAACTGGTTCTTGCTATCCTTTGTATAGGTACTCTCTCTCTTTCTTCCCACTAGCTTTCCAAGGTATCACTGTGGATCAGATCTGGTGTATAAGCTAGATCAGTATAATAGGGTTGCCCATTCGTGTGCGTGTGTGTGTGTATATATATATATGCAAAAACATAGGTGAATATAGGAAATTTTTCTTATCATTGCTACCCTCAGTTCTCCTGTTGCTGTGAGTGTTGTTAGCTGCTGCCAAGTGAACTCCCACTTCATGGTGACACCGTGTATAATGGAACAAAACACTGTCTAGTCTTGTGCCCATTCCCATGGTTGGTTGCTGATCAGACCATTGTGATTTTTGTCAGGCGTTTCATCCTAGTTGGCTTTAGTCTTGAAGCTCTGTTAAAACTCATTCAGTGTTGACAGCACACGTGTCCAATGGCAGATGAGTTGTAGCTATACATGTGGAGCATTAGCCAGGAATGTAACCCAGGACTCTCTCTAATGTACAAGAAAGAAATTCTACGACGGAACCGCCATTGACTCTAGACACACAGTACAGCCAGCCCGTGAGTTAGGAATAAGATCCATTCCTGAGTCTGTCTTTCTCAGATTTGTCTGTAAACTGAAACAGGTAAATACACTTCCTATGTAGCATCAGTTAGTCAAATGTTTGTCTTAGTATATAGTATATATTTATATAATATACTTGAGAATATCATCAATTTTAAACAGCTTGTGTGAATTGGGAACACAATTTGATCCACACTCCTTTCATATTTGAGTGCTTTGCTTCATCCCAAGAATCAACAACACTTTTGGTGGCATCTTAAATGTTATCATTCTTCAAGAATCACTCACACAACTTACACCTTGCACCTGAATATTATGTAAGTTAAAATTTGTACTCACTTTAAAACTATTGAACCAACCTCTACTGGAAATAAGTTCTCCACCCCATTCACTTTCGCTAGCTGCATGTCCAGATTTAAATCACTGAAAAGGCTCGAAGTCTTCAAGTCACTGGCATATTACAGTGAATTTGATCAAATATAATCAAATGATCAATAGCCTTTCCTTTTCAGTAATTAAGTTACGGTGATGCTTAGTAATAATTGAAGTTTTTACTGAATCTTTCACATGCTCCTTTTTTCTTTTAATTTTTTTTCCAATCTTGACGGACAATTGTTAAGTGCTGTAGAGAATCCTAGTGCTTTTTCAGTGACCGATGCCAATTCACCTTTCCAATTGCTTTATTATTTCCTCTTCATGTTCATTTGTGGTCATTTTACTTTCCTTTGATGCATCACAAGCACTAGTTACAATGGTAAATAAAAGAAAATGTGATCCAGATAGAAAATTACATATGCAATCCAGTGTTAACACCAACATGATTTGACTCACAAAGTTGGATCCTTACAGAGCCAATAATCGCTCAAGTCACCGCATTGTTCACTGCATTGTTCCCATAAAGTTGTGCATGCCTTATTACGAACCGTGATATTGAAGTGAACATTTTAATACATTGAGCTGTATTTCTACCAGTCCATTCTTAAGCATTTGTTGTCTGAAAGTCAGATTTACTATATTCACATCAAGTGATTCAGAGCAAGATTCCCAGCAACTGGAGAAAGGAGGGCAACCTGCCATGGAACAACTGTTGCCTTAGACGCTCCAGGTTTTCAGATGAGTGGACACGAATCCGCTGGTTCCTCATATGGATAGAACCAGCGCATGCTCCTTCTAGTGCTTGCTACCCAAACTGGCTTTAAATGGAAAGAATTCATAAATTAGGGTACCCTAATGTGTGGCTCTGTGGGTTAATGTGCCAGACTGCAAAGCCGTTTGAACTGCAAGGTCCATGGTTCAAACTCACCAGCTGCTCCTCGGAAATCCTATACCGCGTTGCTATGGGTCAGAACTGACTCGATGGCACTTAACAACAATGAGTTGACTCTGGATACATAAGGCTCTAGTTTGACATGTAGGACAAATTAGACAATGTTGTGGTATTCATTCTAGGGGAAATTAGTACACATCTGACTCCTATATGCACTTATCAGCTGTAGTATGTAAATTAACCAAAAACAATAACAAGAAGAAAAAAACTGCCATTGTGTAAATTTGACTCATGTTGTTGTTAGGTGCCATCGAGCTGGTGCCGACTCATAGCTGTCCTATGCACAATGGAACGAAACACTGCCCAGCCCTGGGCCAGCCTCACAAACGTTGCCACACTTGAGCCCATTGAGGCTGCAACTTTGCCAATCCATCTCACTGGTGGTCTTCCTATTTTTCTCTGATCCTGCACCTTACCAAACATGATATCCTTCTCCAGAGACTGGTCCCTCCTGACGATATGTCTAAAGTATGAGAGATAAAGTGTGGCCATCTTGGCCTCAAAGGAACACTCTGGCTGCCCTTCTTCCAGAACAGATCTATTGGTTCTTTTGGAAGCTCATGGCATTTTCAGTATTCTCCTCCAACACCATAACTCAAATGCATCAATTCTTCTACGGTCTTCCTTATTCACTATCCAGCTTTCACATGCATATGAGGTTATTGAAAATACCATGGCTTGGGTCAGGTGCATCTTAGTCCTCAAGCTTACATCTTTGCTCTTCAACACTTTCAAAAGGTCTTTTGCAGAAGATTTGTCTAATGCAATACATCATTTAATTTCTTGACTACTGCTTCCATGAGCGTTGATGGTTGATCCAGGAAGAATGAAGTCCTTGATAACGTCAATCTTTTCTCCATTGATAAGAATGTTGTTTATTGTTCCAGTGGTGAGGATTTTTGTTTTCTTTACATTGAAATGCAATCTACACCAAAGGCTGTGCTCTTTGATCTTCATCAGTAAATATTTTGACTCATAGTGACCCTATATATGATTTTTGAGGCAGCCTTATCTGTTTACCTCAGAGCAGCTGGTGGGTTTGAATCATCAACTTTGTGATTAACTGCCCAATGTAGAACCCAGGGTGCCACCAGGCTAGCTCCTTAGCATGCAAATTAGTCAGCCATAAATATGTTGATCCTAATAATATGTGGTGAGCTAGATGTAACCAATCTCCAACAGATTGCTATGAGAAAGTACTGGGATTTAGAGTCGTCACTCACACACATTACAAGAGGAGCCTTGGTGGCACAGTGGTTAAACACTTGGCTGTTTACCAAAGAGTCAGCAGTTCAAACTTACCAACTGCTCCACTGGAGAAAATATCTAGGGATCAGTGCCCATAATGATTACAGCCTGCAAAACCCTACTCTGTCACATGGGGTCAATTTGAGTCAAAATCAACTTGATGGCCCCCAATAACAACATAGGAAGCAGAAGTCCCTGAATGTTGCAAATAGTTAGATGCTTAGGTACAACCCAAAAGGTTGACAGTTTCCACCTCAGAAGAAAAGCCTGGGGATCTGTGTGTGTACGATGGCAGCCATTGGAAGTCTTATGGAACAGTTTGAAGGCAAGCCATTGAAAAGGCTTGGCCAAATCACTGTAACATTCGGGGGCTTAATGCCAAACATGAAGATAATGGTGTTAAAGTAGGACTGTCTTAAAGTGTACAAAAGTCTCTGCTTCAAGGAACTGGTTGGATCTAATTATTCATTGTTACTTATGTTTTTTCTAAAACCCTATAAAATATCAATGCCATTTGGCTGGTTCTCCAACTGATAAGATGCATTTTGCTTAAAATGTCTGACTCAGAAGCTCTAAGTTTCGGCTTTATTTAAGAAGAAAAAAAAAAGTAGATGTTTCATAAACCCACAGCAGAATTCTAAAACCAAGCAGTGGATGGTTTCTAGATTATAGTTTTAGTCATAAAGTGTCTTAGTGGATATTCTACAATTTAAGCTCACTGAGTATAGTATGTTTCCAACACTGTGTTTCAGATTCATAATGCACATTTACTGTCTGTAAAACAAAGTTGGATTTTGTTTTACTGTTTCTATCTATCCCTGGGCCAAGGGAAGAGTAAACTATGAGTCACAGTAGTAAAATGCAATAGAGAGAACGAAAGAAGAGTGTTTTCAAATGCATGCTACTAGTAGATAACCTTTGAAATTCTATGACAATAACATTA